AATCCTAAGGTAGTTCCTGCCCTTGAAGGTGAGATGGATTTCTTGCAGACAGCAAAAGATGGATTTTGTTTCTTAATCCATTCGCTTAGCCTGTGTCTTTTGATTGGGGAGTTCAGTCCATTGATATTTAAGGTTATTATTGAAAAGTGTGTATTGGTTACTGTCATTTTGCTTGCTGTTTGTGTTCTCTGTGTAATTTTGTGTGTCCTAGATTATATCTTTGTGTATTTTCTTTCATTGCCCCTAAGGTATAGTTGTTTCTCTCTCTACTCTCTGATTGCTTCAAGTATTCTTTGAAGGGCTAGTTTTTTGGACATGTATTCTTTCTTTTCACATCATGGGAGATTTTTCTTTTCCCTTCAATTGTAATAGTAAGTTTTGCTTGGTAAAGTATTCTGAGTTTCTGAGTTGGCATCTATGGTCATTTATTTGTCATGTAGAACTGGAAATACCTTGGCCCAGGCTCTTCTGGCTTTCATAGTTTGCATTGATAAGTCAGCTGTAATTCTTTACAGCTTTCAGCTGTAATGGGCTTTCCTTTGTGTGTAACTTGTTTTTCTTTTGCTGATTTCAGTATTCTCTCTTTGTTCTGAACATTTAGTGTTTTTTACTATGATATGTCGTTGGGAGTTTCTTTTCTGATCCTATTTGGTGTTTTATGTGCTTCCTGTATTTGTATGGGGGTGCCTTTCCTTAATTTTAGGAAATTCTCTTCTACAATCCTGTTTAAGATCTGTTCAACACCATTAACCTGAAATTCTTCTCCTTCCTCTATTCCTAGGATCCATAGATTTGGTCTTTTCATGGTGTTCCACATCTCTTGCATATTCCATTCCTGTGTTTTTAAAAACTTTCCATAATCTTTGTTTGAGTGGTCCAATTCTTCAACTTTATTGTCCAGTATTGATATTGTTTTTTATTTCATTCATTCTACCGGTGAGGCTTTCCCCTATAGTTTCAAGTTGGCCTATTGAGTTTTGCACTTTCTTCTTCATTTCTGCCTGAGTTTTCTTCAATGTTTCAATCTCTTTTGTGAATTCATTCAGAACTTTATCCCTATCTTCTTTTAGTTCTTTGTTGATGTGCTCTTTAAATTCATTGACTTCCTTGATCATGTTTATTATTGTTCTTTTAAATTCAATGTCCTGGGTTATCTCTAGGAGGTTCTCCTTGTAGAACTCTTCTACAGGATTGGTGGGCTTTGGTGGGAACATAGTGTTTTGGCTTTCCATTTTATTATTCTTTCGTTTTGGTTTTGGCATGTGAATTTCTTTTTTTGTTTATGATTCTGGTATGAGAATTAAGTTGAAGTATGCTTCTGCTTGTATTATCCGGGTGTGTAGATCCTTTCTTTATTGGTTATGTAAAGGTAGTTGGTACAGGGTTCAGGTTCTCTCAGGTTTATTTTGGAGGGAACTGCTGACTTCAGATCAGTTTTTCAGGGGTACCCACAGAAGCCCACTTCACATTCCAGTCAGGTACACTCAGGCTTCCTTCACCAAGTGGAGGCAGGATCCAGGCTCTCTCAGGCAGTCCTATGTATTGACAACCCTATGCCAAAGGGAGGACAGAGGGGGCCAGAACTCTGCACTCTCTGGCAGTCTGCTGAGATCCCAGCCTTAGCCCACCAAAGCTAGATCTGCCCTGGGGCCTTGGGAGGGGCCTCAGAAATTCCCAGGTAAGGGGATGGTATGGTGCAATTAGGCAAAGTTCACCATCATGTGAGGCAGGATCTGGGGGCTGTCAGGCTGTCCCCTGGGTTCTCAGGCCCTCTGGTAGTTGGAGGCCAGAACCCGGCACTCTCTGGTGGTCTGCTGAGCTCTGGGCCTCTACCCATATGGAGGAGGTCTGAACCCACCCTCTCAGGCTGTCTGCTAGGATCTCTGTGACTTAACTTCTTAGCATCAAAGTTACTTCGTGTTTCCAGGAATATGACAAGCCCCAAAAAGTCAGAATCTGTGTTGTCCTATTACTGTGACATTAGACTCACCTCACAATGACCCTTCCCCAGTAAACTGGGACTGGAGAGCCCCTGCTTGATGAGATTACAGTAGCACCTAAATGTGCAGAATGTGTACAGTGTTCTCCAGTACTGTGATTTCAGCTCCCTCAGTTCTCTAAACTATCCAGAGATAATACCTGTTTTTTTGCAAACAAGAAAACTGTTTAAAAATTCATTGATAAATTACATTTGTATGTATTTCTGAGGTATAATGTAATATTTTGCATATATATGTGTATATATATATGGTAGTGAACAACTCAGGGTAAATTAGAAAAGCATTTTTTTAAGCAAGAATTTTTCCTAATTCTCCCTGGTGAGTCTAATGCTTAGAGTCCACTATAAAATGCTTTTTCAAGTCTTTCTTTTGATCACCAAAATGTTAGAGGATTTCCAAAGCAAATGAATTAAAATAACTCAGTAAGTAAATGTTATCATTATGTCTAATAATATTAGTTTGCAGCAAAAACAAAGCACCTAGAAATGAGTAGCGCTGAGCTATCCGCTGGCTGATGATACATCTGTCAAGTCCACAGGGAGGAATGCAATCCACCAGAAGCCTGGCCATTGCTCACGATCACAGCCTAATGTAGCCTTAGATCTCACCCCCAATCCTTTTCTAAAACAAGTGAACTTTTAATTAAAAATGAAGTGTGTTTCTATCATTTAGTAACTATAAGCTGACCTTTAACTGGTTTGGTTTTGTGTTTATCAAAGGTGTTTTCTTGTAGCCAAATAGCTTTTCATTACATTCATGTGCCATACCTTGTGTGCTTTAGGAAGAAGCGAGCCTGGTGGTTTCTTCCTGAGGACATATGCTTGAGATCCCTTCTGCAGGAAAAATGTTGGATTGGACTGTCCTGATCTAGATAAAAGTTTTTTGTGCAAAGATCAATTATAAAGATATATTTTCCTTCTTCCCCAAATTCCACTGCAATTGGTTCATGGCCATCTTATACAGTAACAGTCAGTGCAAGGAAGTTCTAGCAAACCAGGGGCAGTTCTTTAAGAGAGATGAGGGAGGTGAGATGGCTCAATAGGTAAACATGCTTGCCACCAAATCTGATGACCTGAATTCGATCCCCAGAACCTCCATTATGGAAGGAGAGAACCAACTCCACAAGTTGCCCTCTAACCTCCTCTCATGTGCTGTACTACACACATGGGCACCTGTTCTTGCCCTCCCCAATAAATAAATTAAAAAGAGTGACCAATGCTGGCCACTGGAAACCCAACACAACTGGGTGTGAACAGGAATAAGAGCATCTGGAAAAGTATCAATAGCATCTACTAAAATGAATACTTTTCAAATTCATTCTTATGAACCTCAAATTGGACCCCCACTTGGCAATCATATTCCTTAGCCTGTTGATTCTCCCAAGGCCCAAGATGACTCTTTCTCATATTTTGTCTCTCCTGAAACCACTAACAGCATCTCCAGCTTCTCATCTAATTACCTAGTCACTATTTCAGTGACAAAGCAAAAGTGATCAGATGTGAACTTTTCTAAGCACTACTATAGCTGCAACTGGATCCTCTGTATTCGTATGTTGAGTCCCTTCCAAAGATTACAGAAAATATTCACATCCCTGTCTGCAGACAAACCAATCTTTTGTGAACTGGATTCTAGACCAATCTTGAAGTCTCAAGGTCTTTGTTCTAGACTTTTGTTTTGCACAAATTATTGATCACTGCTATTTGCTTCTAATCATGTGGGTTTTTAAAACGCTTTTTCTTGCCCCACTTCCTACTGCACTTCCCTGTAGAAATGCTGTCTCCTGTAATTTTTCTCTTAAACCCACTGCATTGAGCTTTCATTTCCATCTTTCCACTAATGGCACTTCCTCAAGGTCACCAGCACCAACCATGATTCTCCCTTACTTCTCTGGCCACTCCTTCTTGGACTCTTTTGTAGCTTCCTCTTAATTCTCCAACTTCTTAATGTTGGGCTGTTATGGACCAAGTCTCTAATGGTTTACTTTATGCAGACTAGTTTTCTAGGTAAGCTTTTCAATCTTATGACTTTAAATAACTTTCTCCTATGTCAATTACTCTTAAACTTATGTCTATGCCAGGTCTCTGCCCTGACCTCCAGACACATACAGGCAACTGGTTTCTGTAACACATGTACTAAAACTGAAAGTTAAATTACAAACCTGAGCTCCCAATATACTCCTCTTCATCACTATAAAAAAATATCTGTCAGAAGCAACTTCAGGGAGAAAGAAGAACAAATATTTTTTGGCTCCTGGTTTTAGGGGATACAGTCTATCCCATGGGGAAAGCATGGTGGAGAGGCTGGGTGTGGAGGCAGGAGCCTGCAGCTGCTCCTTACATCTTGGCAGATCAGGAAGTAGAGAGCTCAGGCTAGAGCCAGAGTGTATATAACCTTGAAAGCCTGCCCTTGAAACCCACTTTTACTAGCCAGGAGGCCACATGTCTTAAAGGTTCTGTTGCCAGTGGTCTGAGTATTTCCAGGTTCTTGGTATCTTATTCAAAGAATTGAAAAAGCACACTCAAACGGCAAAGCGGCAATAACTTTTATTTAAAGAGACAGCACAGAATAGAATAAAAAGAAGCAGTGGGCTAATTGAGCTAGAGTGCCCCAAAGCAGTGGTTATTGCTTGGGGTTTTCTTTTATTGGGCTCCTAGAGGAGGAGGAGTTGGTTGCTAAGAGGCATGGTGTGGGTGGTTCTCTGTTTTGATTGATAGGCCTGGATTATGTAAGTCTTTATTGTGCGTGTACATTTCCACGTGAATCTGATTTTAATCATATGCATGTCCAATCATGCATAGGCATAAGATGGTAAATAGGATAATTTTCCTAAAAGTTCACTCAAAGGATGCAGTTTGCCTTACTGCCTGGAATGCATCCAGAACTGGTTCAAGCTGGATGGCCATCCACTCCCACCTAGTTTTGGGGAATGTTCTCTATGTTCTGGGACATTTGTGAATGGGCACAAACTACAAAAGGGGAGTTACCCAGAAGCTGCTAAGGGAAGGGCGACCTATTGCATTGTTTGAAGCAGGGTATACAGGCAGCTAAATGCAGGGGGGTGGGGGGAGTCCCAGGTTGCTTAGTGCATTTTTAGGAAAGAGGTGTGGGTACAGCTCAGTCAAGCAGAGTCCCAGGTTGTTAAGCTTTGTCTACACTTTCCTGTCTCTGTTCCACAAATTCTCAAAGCAGAGCCACTAGTTGGGAACCAAGTGTTCAAACACATGAGTCTCTGGGGAGCATTTCACATTCAAACAATAATGTCCTCTAATCTGGTTTTCTTACAGTCCTCTCTATTTTTAAGATCACAATAACCTCATACTTAGTTATCATGACAAAAAAAAGAACCATTCTTATTTCTTTGTCTCCTATCTCAAATCAAATCAACAATCCTTCAGAATCTACCCAGACTACAATCACTTCTCACCTATTCTACATTACCACACTGGCCCCTAATGTCTCTAACTGGATAGTGCAATATATTGGTGCTGTTTCCACCTTTGCCTTCTTCAGTCCACTCTCAACTTGGTAGGCACAGTTTCTGTTAAAAACAACAGGGCTGGAGAGATGACTCAGTGGTTAAGAGCTGTTCTTGCTGAGGAACCAGGTTTAGTTCCCAGCATCCTCACAGCAGATAACAACTGTTCATAACTCCAGTTCCGGGGACTCCACACTCTCTTTGATCTTTCTGGGCATTGCATGACATGGGTGCACTAACATACATGCAGGCAATATACTCATACACATTAAAAAAATATCGATGACAATGATGACAACTCATTTCCTCCTTTGCTCAAAAAGCTCTAACCTCTTCCACTTCAACTCAAAGTTCCTATGACAACTGCTAGGATCCTGTTGCCCTTGATTACGGTGCTTAGCCCAGAGGTTCTGTGTCCCTTAGCATACTACACATGCTCTGCCTCCCTGGCCTTTGCTTCAGTGGTCCACTAGGTTTATAACATGGACAGTCTCCTCCTCAACTCCTAGTCTTTGTTGAATGCCATATTCTCAATGCAGCCCTTCTGCTCTGCCCTCAAACATTTTCTGTCCCCCAACCCTGCACATAGGACATAGCAACTTGCAGTATAATATTTAGAAACTGGTTTTGCTTGTCTATTTTCTTTAAATAGACTAGAAATTGAAAATGGCAGGATTCACACCAGTGCCAGATACACACAGGCAGTAGGCTGTAAGTCATAAGCTTTGTTATATCAAGCTATATAATGTTTTCATTGTTTTATTATACTTTTTATTTCCAATATGACTTAATGTTTGTAAATTAAAAAACTGCGTAAGAAAAAAGAATTCTTACAGACTATGGAAGGCACGGGAATAACTATACCAAAAAATGCCAATATTCTATCTTAAAAAATTTACCAGATATTTGAAGGCATCTTTGTCCTGAATTTTATACTTGTTTTCTTGAACTTCATCTCCTTAAGGAACATTCTCTGTATTTGTCCACGCTTTTTAAAAATATATCTATTTTTTATTTTTTAGAAGAAGCATTTCATTACAGCTTTAACATACTCAATAACAATTTCCAGAGCAAAGATACATCTCTTTCAAAAAGTGTCTATAAAGTTTTTAGGTTCACAGTTGAATTAATACAGTTATACAATATTGAACTCAGTATAAGCCCTGTAAGACATAAAATTGAATGAGCTTTTAACCTTTAAAAAAGATCTCCATTTCATTTTAAAATATACTGTTTCTTATAGAAAGACTCATTGTTTTTGCTAATAACACTTAGATGTTAGCACATGTATCTCTAATCTGTATGTATCTTATTATTGCTAGTCCTGGTCAGTTGTACTCAGATCCTTGGCACCTGTGTATGGATATAAAGTCATCAGGTAGATTTCAGTGGTAATGTTTATCACCTCTACTATTTAACATGACATAAATTTTTATGCTTCCTCCTCAAATATAAATCATTTTTTAAATTTGTTGATTTCTTTTGTGTGTATATCACACAGAACATCCCAAACCATCTTATTCAACTATACACCCATTTCCCAGATGGCACCCTCCCATAGCCTCCCTCACCCCATTAGAGCCCTTATACTCTGATATCCCTGCTACTGTCTGCTGTGTTGTCACCACCCCCAGCCATTCCCCACTACTTGTCCATCTGGTGACCTTAGTCAGCCTATCTAGATGTCTTTGTTTTAGGAAGGTCAGCTGTTCCTCATCTAGCAGCAATCAGTTGTCAATATTCCTTTAGATAAGACTGGGGTCTGCTGTTCATTTTCCCAGTTTTATGCTGGGTTACTATCTGGGAGTCTCTTGGGCCACCCTGGCCAACACCTCAAAAGAAGGTATCTCCTATCTGGCATTGTTTCTTGTTATGTAGCCTTTAGCTAAACATATGTTGTCCATGCTTTTTATCCTGTGCGTATCTAGCTGTAGTTGAATCATTTTAACTGATTTATGGTAACTTATCTGTGAATATGTAATTTATTCTTTCACTGTACTACTAATAAATACTGCTGTTTCCTGAATTTTGGGTATTAAAAACAGCATGATGAATGTTTTGTGGATTATTTCCTGATATCCTAATATGAACATTTCTCAAAGAAATAGAATTTCTTGGGGCACAGGGCATATACAGGGCATACAACTTCATCTTTGCAAGGTAATATCATGTATTTCTCAATGGTGGCTATACTGACTCATACTTTGTTGGGGAACCCTGCTGTTAAGGTCAGCTCCTTTCTCAGCAGGGGCTTCCTGCCTGACTTACCTGGAAAATGCCGCCAAACATGGATACTTGGCCTCATTTGAAACATGACCTTTGGCATAGTTACCTGCAATAAAACTGCCCCCAGGTTTTTTCCATATGGTAATTAGGCATTGCCCTATAGCCA